TCCCCTCTTCCCTCCCACCCCATCCTCCTAAGCCACAGTCACACTAGTTACCAGTTTGTATTCTGGAGGGATCATTAGGGAAATGCAAATTAAAACCGTAATATGCCACTTCATACCCACTATGGTAGCAGTAAACAAAAACTCAACATCAAGGTCTTTCAAGGATGTGAAGAAACCGGAACCCTCATACACTGTTGGTGGCAGTATGAAAAGGTACAACCAATTTGGGAAACAATTTGGTAATTTCTTTTTATATATGTTTTATTTGTAATATAAAATGTAACATAACATAGTAATTAAAGATATTTATGGGGCACAGTGTGAAATTTTAATACTTGTATACAAGTGTAATAATCAAATTACAATAATTGGCATATGTATTACCTTACACATTTATCATTTGTGTTGGGAGCATTCAAAATCTTTTCTACTAGCTATTTTGAAATATATAATTGTGAATCACAGGTATGCTACTATGCTATAGAACATTACAGTTCATTTTGGCAATTTCTTACAGCTAACTATAATTTTCCATATAACCTAGCAATTCTACATTGTGGTAAATACACAAGAGATGTGAAAATATTACTCATAATTGCCAAAAAGGCAAACAACCAAAATGTCCATCAACTACTGAATAAAGAAAGTTTGGTACATTAACATAGTGAAATATTATTTACCAATAAGAGGATGAAGTTCAAAATCTATACTTTGAAAAAAGTTGGACACAAAAGACTATATATTGTATAATTCCCCTTCTATGAAGTGCTAATAAAAGCAAATCTACATAGAAAATACATTAGTAGTTTCGTAGAGTTGGAAGTAGGAATGAGAGTTGATTATGATTGAACATGAAGGAAATTTTTAGTGTGACAGAAATACTTCAAAATTAGATCATGCCAATGTTTACACAACTCTAAATTTACTAAAAATCATTGGATTTGAATGATTTTTAAATGAATTAAATGGGTAAAGTGAACAGGTAAATTTCAAGGAGTACAAAGTACATACCTTGATAAAGTTGTTTAAAAGACCTCCCCAGTGAACTAGAATAGTTCTAAATTTTATAGTAATTATATTCTACATTCTGTGCCTAGTTGGCCAGTATTCCATTCAAGACCTGTTTAACGGACATAGAAAAAAATTAAATGTGCCTCAAAATACTAAAGATATCAGGCTTTAATATCCAGTGTCATATCCATTTCAGAAGGAAAGGGCCCAAGTTCAGTGCTGTGAACCTTTCCGGCTGCCTTCCGAGGAGAGAGGCTGGCTTGAGCTTTGCCCTGGAGTGTCATTCCTTGTCACTGATTAACCAGCTCCATAGGAAGTTTGCTCTGCCAACCTTCTGCTCTACCTGGAGAGAGCCATCCTGTCAAGCTTTGGTGAGTCGAAAAAATGTCCACTCGCTACCACCAAGCTGCTAGTGATAGCTACCTGGAACTTCTGAAAGAGGCTACCACACGAGACCTGAATCTTTCTGATGAGGATGGCATGACACCCACTCTCCTGGCAGCCTACCACGGCAACCTGCAAGCCCTGGAAATAATCTGCAGCAGAGGGTAAGTTTCACCTGGTGGTTTCTGTTAGAAACAGTATTTATGGCGGGATTTCACAGACAGCAGCAAGATGCAGGGAAGTCAGTGCAAATTCTTTGCCCTCTTCGTAAACCGTGGAAATAATTGGCTTTTTAGAGAAAGAGAGAAAACTGCGCTAGAGACGCTTTCTTTTATACTGAGAATTGGCACCATGGGAGTGGCTCCTTCCAAACCGCACACGGAGAAGAGGCCCTTTCTTCTTAGGCATTGTTATCTCTCTCAGTTAGGGAACCATATTTAATTCTATGTGCCTAAAAGTCTTTCCCGTGAAGTTTAAGTGCTTGCCCAGAAGTCACCATTCCACTTGGTTTAGTGACCCTTACTTAGGACAAATGATGGGTTTTTGTTTTTCCATCTACACTATTAAAATTCGGTGGCCATTTATTAGCATTCAAGTCCACAATTCTTAATTAGAATCGTTGGCTCTCCACACTATAGAAGGAACCTTCAGCCCTTCTTAACATCGTTCGTTACCCATCTGGTCGGCACTTGAATAATTACACACACAGCCCACACCCACCCCTGTACTTTAATACAGTGTTAGTTTTCTCTTGCTTGATCTGACTGTTACCAGGTGGGCTTGAGTGTGACTCAAGTAACGTAAAGAGATGTGAATGAGGGAGCCAAGTGAATTCAGTTCAAATATATTTAGTATCTGATGTATCACAGTCCCTCTTCCGTTTTCTTCTTTACTAGCCACTGGGGACACTGATCAACAACCTACCATGGTGATCAGATTTGAGAGGGGGAACATAAACAAGTCGTCTGATATGTTTTATAAAGAGGGAAGTAGAGGGCACTAAATAAATAATACAGACATCCATCCCAGCCTCAGAGAGAGGAGGCTTTTCCTAAGCAGAAAGTAATTAAATTGGGATTGGAGAGACAGGATTGAAAAAATGAGGGGTGGACCAGGAAAGATGGAAGGAAGCAAGTTTCCTCTAAGATTGAGCACTGTACATTCTAGGAACTCAAGAAGCTGCGTGTAGAGCCGGGGATTTAGCTCAGTGGTTTCGCTGCCTGCTGCGCAAGTGCAAGGACCCAAGTTCAAGCCCCAGTACCAAAAAAAAAAAAAAAAAAAAGAAGAAGAAGCTGAGTGTGGCTGGACTTAGCTTGACTAGGAACGGGACAAGTGTAAGCAATAAAACCGTATCACAAAGAGCCTTATAAACTCTGTTAAGGAGTTGAACTTTATCTAAATGCCAGGGAACCTATGACTTGTGTTTATTCAGGAGAACCTCAGGTAGACTCTTGTTTACAAAAACAGTAAAACCTGGGTTTGTAAGCATAATTCATTCCAGAAACATGCTTGTAATCTAAAGCACTTGTACTATATTTCAAAGCAAAGTTTCCCAAAAGAAATAATGGAAACGCAGATGATTTATTCCATAACCCCAAAATATTCATATAAAATGATTGCAATACTGTGATATAATACAAAATATAAAGAAAAATAAACAAATGAACCTGCAGTTACCTTTGAAAACTTTTGTGGATGGTGTGAGGGAGATAGGAGAAAGGGTTATTGTGTAGGACGACTTTCACTGTCACCAGTGGAATCACTGCTGTCTATTGGTTCAATGGAAATTTTTTCTTTTCATGCAGCTTTAACAAGGAACCTATCCAGTGACACTTGCTTTTGCCTCCTTTTGAGGATTTCATGGAAATGTGACATTGCATTGTCACTGAACAGATTCATCACCCTCACTCATGGCTATAGCCCTATTTGGGTGATGCTTTTCTACAAAATTCTGCCATTTCCCACATCTCTTTAATCTCATTTGAAGTGAGCCATTCCTCTGCTTTTTCATCCTCTTCCTCTGCAGATGGGATCTCTTCCATAACCTCTTGCTATTGGGAAATGATAACCAACAATCCTGGGGGGGGGGGGGGGGACGGGGAGGGGGCGTAGAATTGACCGAGACTGAAACTTATTTCTCACAGTTCTAGTCTCTGGAAAGTCCAAGGCCAAATATTGAAAGGTTCAGTGTCTGCTGAGAGCTAATCTCCGCTTCCAAGATGGTGTTGGTGTCTTGTTGCTGCATTCTTTGGAGGGAAAGAATGCTGTATCCTCATGTGGTGGAAGGGACAGAAGGGAGAAAAAAAGGAAGAGGCGAATTCCTTCCATCAATCCCTCCATAAGGGTATCTAATCCCACTAATGACTTAGTCATCTCCTTAAAGCCATGCATGGGAGATTAGGTTTCAACGTGAATCTTGGAGAAGACACATTCAAACCTTAGCAGCATGTACACAATTGACTTTTTTTTAGATGTGTTGACAAATTGCCTTTCAAAAAGTGAATACTCATTTTGCCAATATTAGGTCCAAAGTTATGTATCAGTGTAGCTTTCGTGATTTTTAGCTACTGGTGAGGTTACAAATTATTTTTATATTTAGTGCCCGTTGTATTTCTACTTCTGTAAACTCTGTATTTATGACCTTGTCCCACTTTTACATTGGCATCCTCAATATTGCTCACTGATTTATAAAAATGATTTTTTAAAGTTAACAATATCAACCCTTTGTCAAATATATTACATATATTTCCACAATTTAAAACTCATATTTTTATTAAATACAAATGTAAACATAAATATATATAATATAAGTATAGACTTTTAGGTATATATGAGTCTATCAATCTTTACTATGTAATTCTAACATGGAGAGTCATTCATGCCTAAATATTAAAGATATTTTCTATAGTTTTTTAGTTTCATTTTTTTATTTTGAAGATTAATTTGTGTACAATTTATTTTGATTTAAGATCCAAGATTATGGTCTAAATATGGATTCTCCATGTTTTTAATAATTTGAACACAATTTGTTATGTAGTCCATTCTTTTCTCCACTAATTTAACAGTGTAACATAATTTCTTTCAATGTAATATCAAAATCCAGCCCATTTTTTTATATTTATTAAACACTCTATATGGACCCAAAAATTCTTCTAACAATACATTTTCTAGTCTTTCTCAACTCTTATTTTCCCATTGATTCTACTGCATCGCAAATTTTATTTCCTTATCCCAAAAGCATTTAAGATCTGCTGGGTCAAATTGGCCTGGTAAAGGCTAAAAACAAAGTCTTCTGAGTTTTCAGAAGTCATCTCTCCTTTTGACCATAGCCAATCTTTAGTGTGAGTTCAAATTGCTCATGAATTTTAATGGGGCTAAAGAGGTATAAAACCTTAAAACTTGAATTTAGCTAATTAGTTATTAAAGTTCATTCCAGCCTCATCATTTAAGTGTTTACTTTTCATTACCCGATTGAGACAACAGATTCTGTGGGGACCAGTCATAGCCAAATTCCAGGTTTCTTAGAAAGTTGTCATTCTTTCTTTCTTTTTTTAAATTTAAAGATGAAAAACAATGATTACATGTATTATCCTATACTGGCATGTTAGTCATATTTCTGTAATTAGGACAAAATCACAGACATATATAACTTGAAGGAGGAAGAATTTATTTTTTTAAAAAAAATTATTGATATATATTTGCAATACACAATGATTACATTCAGTGTGGGGGTTTGATACATATACATATTATGTCTTGATCATTTTTATTCCCCCTTCCCCATCCTGTGCTCCTCTCTCCCTTCTTCCCCAGGTCCCCCTCCCATCTCTACAGAGTTTACCTTCCTGTTTTTTAACATGGATCTTTTATTTTGCTCTTTAAATTATTTATGGAAGGATCTATTCTGGCTCATAGTTTCAGAGGTTTCAGTCCATGGTGGGCTGGCAAAAACATCAAAGCAGAAGTACATGTATATATATTACTTTCCCCTATTTATTCAGCTGTTGATGGATGCAGGTTGATTGCATAGTTTATTTGATCAGTTGTCTATGGCATTTAATTTGAATCTAGTCTTTTAACTTATAAGTAAAGCTGAGATGAATTGGTCTTTGCGCAAATGCCTGACATTTTCTTAGGATAAATCTCTAAAACTAGAATAGTTGATCTTAAAAGGTGCTATGTTTTAAAGGCTTTTGGTCTCTGTTGTGCCAGGAAGTTTTTGCTTCCTCCATCAGAATTTTCTTCTTCATACTCCCACTAAAACTAAGTATTAATATTCTTAAATCATTGCCTATCTGATAGGCAAAAAGAAAATGGTAATGCATTGTTTTAATTTGCATTTCTTTGATTATTAACAAGTCCTAATAACTCCTTTTTATGTAGAAAAGACTTTCTGAAAGAATTGCTTTTTTTCTAGGACATATTCACAAAAAATCCAATCAACCTCAAAAGGAGAAATTGCAATGGAACAGATGCTTAGAGTAATTTAAACAAATGGCCTAATTAGTGACAATAAGACAGAGCCAGCTTTAGAAATTATTGCCCAAATGCACTGATCTACCAAAAATAAAGGGAAAATATAAATTAGTTTTAAATCTCTTTAATTTCTTTTTTGGGAAAAAGCAATAGGAAAAAATCAACCATGGACTGAATTTAGCCCAAGGAAACCACAGAGCATCAATTTGGGCTTGGATCAGCCAATGACGGGGCCAGTTTGCTAACACCTCAGCAGGTGTACGAAATGGTGCTTTAAGAAATGTGAAAGAGGGCTGGGGATTTAGCTCAGTGGTTCTGCCACCTGCTGCGCAAGCCTAAGGACCCAAGTTCGATTCCCGGTACCAAAAAGAAATGTGACCGAGGACTAGGATTGAATTTAGGAAGACTCCATGAAGCTTGCAGCAGGAAATAATTTTAAGTTTTACATCAACTTGAAAAGCTGTCTTTAAATAGAATTCGTACAAGTAGAAATAGCTTACATGCACTGGGGAAACTCACATATTATCCTACTGACAGTTTCATCTATGAATTTGGAATTTTGCATCTGAAACTTTCTTTAAAGAAAACCTACCTTTTTGGTCATCTTGGGTTGTCCTCCTGTTCTTTCTCCCATCTTAAAAACATCATTTAAGACTCACTGAGATGAGAATATTCCAATCTGTTAGGGATTTATGCATATTAATTTAATCTAGACTTCTCAATACCCTGTCACTCCCCCCCCCCACATTCCTCCCAATAATTTTTTAGCTTATCCAATCCAAGGATAATTTCAAGCAAATTTAATCAGCATGTTTTTGTTTATGTCTATAGTAATGCCTCGAATGTTTTGCAATCCTTTGAAATCTAGGGTACTTAAGGAGTCATTTGAATATGGTGTTTGGGTAAAAGTGAAACCACATGTTTGGGGGTGAAGCACTGTGCTCCTCATGCACAACCATGCCAAGGCTGAAAGAGGTCTCCTTTGATCCAGAACAATTAAATCAGGAGGACTGACTAGAGCCTTCTTGAAAGAGGCTGCCCAACAAAAATGTGTTATTCAGTATTTGCTTTCCTTAAATTTGTTTTCCTTCTCTTTCTCACATCTCACTCTCTCCCCTAACTCCATGTGCTATGATCACACTGATGTATACACTGGGGTCCCCAAATATGCCATGTAATGTCACCCATGTGTGTATCTGCTCATGCTGTTCTCTCTGTACAAAAGGAGGTTGCCAATTTATGGGCTGGACCTATGCAGCTAGTCCACAATGTGTTTTATTTGGACTTCACTATGTTTTTCTTTTAAATTTGAGTCAGTGCTTTTAAAAATTCCATGAAATTTTGGATGTCTGACTTCCTTTAAAAAACAGAGGCTCTAGAAATATTGTTTCTACTTTTATTCAAGGTAGCGTCAGGCACAGCTGAGATTCAGCTGCCCTTTCTAGGAAGAGCATGCACTTAACTTTGTGTCTGTTTAGAAAACAAACCTGGCCCCATTCAATTACTTACATTTTCCTGCTTGACTTCTTCCTGTTGGTTTGAGATTTCTGCAAGGAGATACAGGTGATGAAAGGGAGAAAAAAATTTTCTAATTATCTAATTAGGGAGACAACATAAGGATTCAACAAATTAATTAAGACTGTAAGTGCTTTAAAGCCCGAGGGGCTGTTGTGCTGCTGGAAATTTACCAGGTGGGTGTGAGAAAAAATGAACACATGAAATTAAGGATTAGAGACAAGGGATGTAATGACAAGTAATGTTTATTGAATATTCACAGTATACCAAGCACTTTTCTAGGCTTTGTATATACTGACTTATTTAATTCACATAACAATTCCCATTAGGTAGTACAGTTGGGGTTTTTTTGTTATTGTTATTTTTGTTTGTTATTTTCAGTACTTGAGATCGAGCTGAGGGCCTTCGCATTGAACTACATCCCCAACCCAGCTGGAAAGATGGAAAACTGATATGTTTTAATATGACTACATTGTTAGATTTAAAGACAGGGTTGATCCAAAGTATGCTGCCTGTTACCCTTGGGCAAATCAGTTAAGCTCTTTGAATCTTATTTTACTTCTGCCATGATGATTCTTATCCTCCTCTCTAAGAGGGAGATTGTGGTGGGTGGTGGTGGGCAGTGAATGTGAAAATGCTTTGCAGTGGAAAACCAGGAGGCAGCCAGGAGTTCCCAGGGAGGGGTTATTAGTCTGATTCATTGAACTGTATTTCACTGGTCCACTGGTTGGGTTACTCTAACTAGAGCCTCTCTCCCCAGCCTGTAGTGGGCTATGAATCACCTGATGGTTTTGTTAAACTCTAGACTCAGTAAGTCTGTGCTACAGTCCAAATTTCTGCATTTCTAACAAGATCACATGTGTTGCTGAGGCTGCTGGCCTGGGAACCGAAATTTGAGTAATAAGAAAATACTCAAAGGAGAAAGTTTTCCGTGCATTATCAGATCAGCTGAAGGGCGTGGATCTTCTCTGGTTTGTGCCTTCTACTCACCAGCAATGCTAAGCAAGACTTCTCAGGCTTTCTCTCCAGTCCTTTCTTGGGGCCTCTCACAGGGAGCTGGTAGCCTTGGGCAGGATTCCAGTAGGCATTCATTCATTTCCACAAATGAATTAATTTACTAGGCTCCTACTCTGTGTCTCAGTTTCAGTGCCAGGAATTAGGTCTGTGGCCTCAATACCATCATAGTGTCCTTTTCCACTTTAAACTCTTGTGGAATTATTCATTTATATGATACTGGGAGTAAGCTGAGGGACAAATAAAGGTATTCTAGCCTTTGTGTGAATAATGGTTGTTGTGGATGCTGTTTACTACCTACTCAACATCAATTCCTCTCCTTTTTCTTGCTGATGGGACCTGTTTTTTGTTTTCTTTCACCTGTTTATTTTCCCACATGTGACTCAGGGAAGGGTAGTAGTCTTGTGCTGGAATCAGCTCTTACCAGCTCCTGAGAGGTTATTGCTAAATTTTCAGGAAGTTTGAGAATCAGTTAAACAATTATTAAAGCAAAATCGTATAAATTCACAAGTTAATAAATTATATTTAAAAGGTAGTACTCAGCTGTGTGTGGTGGTAAATTCCTGTAATCCCAGCACTTGGGAGGCTGAGGCAGGAGGACTGAGAGTTTGAGGCCAGTTTGGGCTACTTAGCATGTTTAAGGCCAGTCTGGACTATGTAGCGAAACTGTCTCCAAAAAAAAAAAGTAATACTCAAAACTCATCAGTTCCTAATTATTTTACTATTGTCTGTGCTCTTCACATTATGCATACCCATTATATCTATGTGATGGAAATAATTTATAATAGGGTGCATCTCTTCCAAATTCTGTCCAAGGGTGTCACATTGGTAACTTGAGATTTATCACAATGAGTATATTTACAGCACAGAAATTAGCACATACTATAAATCTGGAATTTTATTCCTGAATGAGCCAGTTATTAAACATTTGCCAGTATGCTCTTGGATAGTCCTATTCCTAGATTCAAGGGAAAATTCTAATCTATCTAAATTACACATGGTACTCTATTTCCTTCCCTGAGAACCAATTCTGGCCAATGAAATATGAAATTTGTCCTGCTAGAGGGTTCCTTGTAAAGCTTTTCTTCTAAAGAGGAGACATAGGGTAGTGATTTTTTTTCCTATTTTTTTTTTTCTGGCCATCTGGTCTCTGGCTATGATATATCTAGATTTACAGCAGCTATCACATGTCAACATCAAGAGGATAAACATGCTGCACTAACAAGCATTTTGTTCACTTTTTAAATTTTTTCTACTTTTTGGACCTTGTGTTCAGAGAAAAAAGTTCAACATGCCTGTTTCATATGTTTTCTCCTAGAGGGGACCCTGATAGATGTGACATCTGGGGAAATACTCCTCTACATTATGCCGCCTCCAATGGCCATGCCCACTGTGTCTCATTCCTGATCAGTTTCGGTGCCAACATCTTTGCCCTGGATAATAACTTACAGTCTCCCCTGGATGCTGCCGCCAGCAGGGAGCAGGGCGAATGTGTTGCCCTCCTGGATAAAGCTGCCACTACCCAGAGCGTCGTAAATCCCAAGAAGGTCACCAGGCTGAAGGAGCAGGCTCAGAAGAATGCCAGGAGGCAAATCAAAGAATGTGAAAAGCTCCAGGAGAAGCATCAAAATAAGATGGCCCGTGCCTACAGCAAGGAGGAATCAGGGAGTCTTTCTTCTTTCAAGAGCATCTCCTCCACGTCTTCCTTCTCAAGTGCTTCTGCTTCCAGTAGACTTGGATCACTCTCTAAGGGCATCAAAGATACCTTCAAGTTGAAGTTCAAGAAAAACAAAGATACAGCAGAGCAGGTGGGGAAGGAAGGCAGAAGTGGGCAGAGGAATGTGATGGAAATGTTCAGAGAGGAGGAAGAAGACTCATTATCAGGGGACTTCAAAGGGAAGCTTATATTCTCAGCAGAGGAGGACCAAGATCTGCAACATGAATCTATTCTCAACCGTCCAGGTCTGGGAAATATTGTTTTTATGAGAAACAGAGTGTTGAGCTCTGAAGACCTCTCATACAGCAAGAGCGAGTCGGGATTTAAAATGCCGAGTGAATTTCTCCAAAGACAAGGAACAGCAGAGGCTGATGAAGCTGAGGCTGATGAAGAAGGAGAGGAAAATGGCCTTGTAGGTAATCTGCCTTGGGATGAGGATGAAGTGGAGTGGGAGGAAGATGTGGTTGATGCACCTCCCCTGGAAGTGTTCTTGCAGTCCCTGCACCTGGAGGAATTCCTTCCCGTTTTCATGAGAGAGCAGATTGATCTGGAAGCTCTGTTGCTTTGCTCTGATGAGGACCTTCAGAACATACAGATGCAGCTGGGTCCCAGGAAGAAAGTCCTTAATGCCATAAACAGAAGGAAGCAGGTGCTACAGCAGCCTGGGCAGCTGGTGGACACCAGCCTCTGAAGGACAGTGCTGGGTCAATAGGATGAGTCTGCAGCAGCAAGAGCTGCTATGGCTGATGGGAAGCCCTCCAGGCCTCACCCCTTACCTACCCAATTCCAGACCACTGGGAGCCCATTCTAAGGTTTTGGAGATGCCCATCTAAGAAGGAGGCCCACACTCTCCTCTGGGGAATACCTAGACCTATCCAAATAAACTGTCAGTGAGAAACTCCAGGGTACTGTGGAACAAGACTATGGCATTTCTTTTCAATTATCACTTTTATATTTTTGAATAAAGAAAGGGTTAAATGGATGATAGAAAAGGAAAAGAAATTTTCTTTACTTTTCTCTGGACATAAAATGATAATTTCTCATTACACTAGCCTACTTTGTGATCCACATACTCCGGGGATTCTGAGTCTGGTTCTGTCCTTAGCTCTGTAACTTTGTCATTGGACATCAAAGTTCTTCACTGCCCTGAGGCTTGATAATCAACTTAAATGCATCTAACCCTTAAACAGATGTCTACATGTTTACAAGGGAGGGTGAAGAAAGAAAGGATAGTGTACCTTTGGTAGACTGAATTGTGTCCCCCTTAAAATTCATATATTGGGGCTCTAACACCCAAACTGTTTTTGGAGATAGGTGTGTTAAAGGTTAAATGTTGTCATAAGGTTGGCATCCCACTCCCATATGACTGATGTCCTTATAAGAAAAGGAAGATATACAAAAGATGTAATCACACACAGAGAAAAGATCGTATAAGGACACAGTAAGTGGCCAAACAAAGAGATCTCAGGAGAAATCAAATCTGCCAACATCTTGATTTTGGGCTTTCAGCTGCCAGAGGTGTGAAAAAATAAATTTTTGTTGTGTAAATCACTCTGTCTATGATGTTTTGTTATGGCAGCCTGAGCTGACTAATACAATGCATAAGAGGGTGGTAAAAGGGAGAAGGATACAGAAAAAAGAAAATTATGAACAGATGACTTTTCTAAGTACCTCCTGAAATTTAAAAAAGAAAAATAATTAATTGTAGGGAAGATTTGCTTATAAAACTAAATTTTACCTTTTCATGTTTATATATGTCTCTATTTACTGTTATTTATTACTATTGCTACATATCCTAATGTATGCAGGTTCCATGATATAAATTGGCAAAATTGCTATTGACATTTTTTTGAAAGCCAACTCCAAATTCAAATTGAAGCTCTACTTAATAGCTAAGTTTCATTGGATTTTTGTAGCCAGAATAACTTCAGGTAGAATCTACCACTGATTGTGTGTGTAGTATAGAAACAGCTGTTTATTTTCAGCAAGACTTCAAATTCATATCTGTTTAGATTACATCAAGAGGTATCATGAAGGATATAAGCTTCAGGGTGATACAGGTACTCAAATCTGGTGAATAATCACCTCATTCTTTGATGAATGTGTTTAGGAAATTTGTTGGTTATTAAATAAATATATAGCATTAGGGGATAATTATGTTTACAAATACTGTGTTTTGTTCAAGAATAAACTGAAATTGTATTTATCTTCAATAGCATGCATGAACACTGTTGGTACACAGAAAGCACTCGAAAATGTTTGTAATCTAAGGCTGCCTTTATTATATGTCATTATTGTAGATGCCAGGATCCTCTCTTCACAAATTTCCCAGAATCTTCCTGAGATACTATTTCTACTTCCAAACCAAACTTACATAAAAAGGAAATCAATTGAATTGGGAGAAATGAGCCTAAACATGTGACTCTTACCACTTTTGGGGGCAGATGCTGATCATCGACATGTTTATGCTCTTCTTAGGGTCTCTCAGTTTCCTGTGGTTTACAGAATTAACGAGTGAGGGGCTCTCTCAACTTCTTAGCATTGAAGATATAACCTCTTCATCATACCATATTTTAAAAGGTTATAAATGCTCTAAGAATTCCAAATCTTTCAACCTACCCCTCTCCCAAGAAAAAGGAGTCTAAGAGAAGATGTTAGAGTGATAGAAAGGCAAGGATGGTTATGAGCCGGTATGAGTTTCAAATACTCACTGATCTCAGACCTCTGTCCCTTAAACTAGATGCTTACATTGGCTCAATCCAGTGGTATCTGATCCCTGCCCAACACCCTGCTTTTTTCTCTCCTGCTTAGCTTGATATAAAAGTTAACAAGCAAGACAAGTCGCCAGGAGCATTTCACTGAAGAGAAGAGTTTGAGAAGATACAGGGGAGTAAATGTATATGGTGCTCATATTTCAGGCCATCATGTAAATACAGGTCAGTTATATGCTTGTAATCCTGAGTCACAGGTAGGATTTGTTGGGCACGAGATCCAAAACCCAAGTCTTATCTGACATCTCCCCTCAAATGTTCCACATATACATCAAACTCAGTGTGCCCAGAATTGAACATATTTTCTCCCAAATCAAGTTCTTTTTTTAAATTTTCTTTTATTTTTTATTTTTCCAAATCAAGTTCTTAACACGAACAGTTTTGCCCTTAGATGCCGGGCAATGTCTAAAGACATTTTTGATTGTGGTGAGTTAGGAGAGCTACTGATGTCAGGTTAATAGAAACAATGGATGTCCAACTCCGTGCAATGTACAAGGCAGTCCCCTACAACGGTTAATCCTCCAGACCAAATGTTGGTAGTGCTGAGGTTGAGCTCCACCTACCCAGGTCAAAAATCTCCATTTTTGATGAATGGCAAGTTTAACCCAAAACTTCTCCTTTTCCTTACCTTCATCACCCAACTGGTCCCTTGAGTTCCTTCAACTCTTTAATATGTCTTAAACCTAAATTCTCTTCTATGTTTGCAAGACCACTGTTTGTTTCATGCCCCCCTCTTTGCTCACTTGTATTCAGAGTATCCTGACTATCTCTAGTTCTCTGCAGTGCTTGTTGAGTGATCTTTCTAATATGCAAACCCTCTCTTGCCACTTTTTGCTTCCCCATTGCTTTTCAGGCGCTCAGCATCACACATAAAACTCTTGCAAGAGCCCTATTCTCTCCTCCAAGCCATTGATCTCATTTCTGACCATCCCTCTTTGTCCCCTAATTATAACCACACCAGGTTTTCTGTAGCTTTCAGAATATATCATGCCTCTTATGCCTGTGTCTTTGTTCACCACCATCCCTGTGTCTTTGTTCACCACCATCCCTGTGCCTGGAAAACTCTTTCTACATGCAGCCAGCCCCACTGAGGGATTCACTCTCTCTCTCTCATCCTAGCTGTGCAGACTTCTTCCTATTTGTCCCTCTAGAACTTCTCTCTGCTCTTTTCCATCCTGCTCTCTTCAGGTGGCTGATTTCTGTAGGTTGTATGAAAGAGTTCCTTTACCTTGGGGCTTCTGCTTGGGTTTAGCCAGTGAGAGGTACCAATAGGAGACCAGAGTGAAAGACGGAGAGACTGGGGTATTTATTCACCTGTTTCTTCCATGCAGGGCAGTAGCTTCCTTCATCTAACCCTGTAGCTCCTGTCTGGCAGCCCTCAGATACAGCTCCAGTTCTTGCTGGGTTCCATCAACTGCTCACTCAAAGTTATTAGTGGTAGTAGCTTCCTGCTATTGCCAGCCCTTGGGGACATCTTTCTAAATAGTCTCTATTAACTTCTCTTTACTCCTGCCTTTTCAGTGTGGCATGTAATTCCTGCTGGGGACACTATTATCAGCTGTTCCTATAATACCCAAAGCATTGCACTGTGATTGTCTTTTCACATATCTGTTTTACCTTCTGGATTGCATTTTCTTTAGAGGGTGAGTACTATTTACATTCTCTTGTATCTTAGTAGCCTCATGCAGAGTAATGATAGGGGCTCTTAGGAAAGAATGAAAGAAGAAATATATGAATAAACACAGTGTTGCCTTGGTTCACGAACTTAATTTGTTTTATGATTTTGGAAAATATGGCCATATTTGTGTTTGTGTGGGAAAGATGGTCGCAGTTGTGTTTGTTACCCCACACAGAATTTGCAAGCAAAAACAAAATTTTGCCAAATGCTTCTGTTTGTGAGCCAAACTGCAAACAAAAGCATTTGTGAACTGAGGTAACACTGTATCTTGATCACCATACATCCTGTAGGGTTATGACCATTGAGATCACCAGAAAGACTCTACAGTCACTCGAGATATGCAGAATTAAATCATGTGGGTATTTTAGTTTAATACAAAAGTCCCTGTCCAGGCAGCATGGTAAACAGGCTTGACTTTTGGCTAATCTACCCAGAGTATGACGAGGCCCTTCCAGGTAGAGTAGGGGTAGAAAAGCAAAGTTCGATAATGTACTGTGCTTTTCTGTTGACTTATCTGATAACAACCCTTGCAGTAGATGTGGGAACTGGATTCAGACAGGATCTTTGGCAGAGCCCGAGCAAACTAGTGACTCGGGGGTCCTGGGGAAAAGCATCTCTGCAACTCCGTTTCCACATCTGTATATTGACAGTGGAGTAGATGATTCCTAGTGGTCTTTTCAACACTAGTTCTCTAGCAGATGCCTAGCCTAGATCTAGCCTTCTACATACCCTGTCCTCTGTCAGCTCATGTGGTCAGATAGGTTGATTCCACATCTGAAATCCTGGGTGGCCATGTGTCCCTGTCCCTGAACAAGGGCTTCAGGTCCCCTGGAAAATGCAGTGATTTAGGGATAGGCACACAACAGGAGCCTGGCCAAAGGCACTGTTCCATCTCTTTCAGCTGTGACGTTAGGCTCAGGAATGAGCACATGACCTCCTAGACGGTCCAGTTTATCTCAGTCCTGGGACTTCCAACTGTGAAAGAAGAGATGTTTGTTTATGCTAGGGTTGATAAAGGGGACAAGGTATAATTCAAGAGCTGTTGGCAACTGTCCTACCACCAGTTGAAAATGTGCTGAATAATGGAGTCAACACTGAAGAAAACAGAAGGGAGGAAAGGAGAGAACAAGATTAGTTTCTAAAGACACTTAGGAGCCTCTGGATACAACCATAGCTGGAACCAGTTACTTGTTTAATTCCTAATAACAAGAGCCAACAAATTCCATTCCTTCTTTGTTCATTCAGCTTAAGGTAGACTGAGATGTGGTCTCTACTACTTGTGACCAAAGGAGTCCGGACCTATAAAGAAACTCCACCGTTCCTTTAAATTTTAAGACAGACACAGGAGGCTACACAAAGTGTATGATTACATGTAGAAGAAATTTCCAAAAGGGGAGAATCTATGAGGGTGGAAAGAAGACCGGTGGTTTCTAGGGCCTGGGAGAGGGAGGAATGTGTAGCGACCTTAATGATTACCACACTTTTGGAGTGATAAAAATGTTTTGGAATTAGACACACAGTAATGGTTGCACACCTCTGTGAATATGCTAAAATCACTGCATTTTTACACTGTAAAATTTTGGGTTAGATGGTGAGTTGTATTTCAATTTTAAAAAGCAAAAAAATTTTCCATTATAGTCTTAAGAGACAATTCAGTCTAGAGGAGTGAATGGAAACACTTTTTTTAATACTGGAGATTGAGTCCAGGGCCTTCCCACTAAACTACACTGCCAGCACTTTTTTATTTTTAATTTTGAGACAGAGTCTTACCAAGTTGCTAAGTTTGCCCAGGCAAGCAATCCTCCTGCCTCAGCCTCCCAGAGTGCTGGGATTATAGGCATGTGTCACCATGCTAGCTGAATGGAAGCATTTCATTTCCTTCACTTGCTTGCCACAAGGAACAGAAATTACTGAAGCAAATACTGCAGAATCGGAAAGGCTTTATTTCAGGGAAATCCAAAGTTAGTGGAACACAAAGGAAATGAATGCTGTTATAATCTGGTGTAACAGAAGAACTATTACCTAGTTTTGGTTTCCACCGACAAACACGAACTCAGTATTTAAAGTACGACATAATAAGCACAAAATTATACTTTTCTGGGGCCTGGGGTCCCTCATTTTGTTTCTCTTTTCTTTTTTTTTTTTTACCAGTATCAAACTCAGAACCTTGCACTTGCAAGGCAGGTGGTAGAACCACTGAACCCGGCCCCTGGACGCCCTCATTTTATCTGGAAATTATGAGATAACCAGTGGTGACATCCTTAGAGTTGTAGCATCCATCTCAACACAGAACTTCTTTGTTTCATTTACCAGATGACCAGGAATCATATACCAGTTTGGCTGCAACCATGTCTTCCACTGCCATCCCTGGAAAGGACAGAAATTTGGTTCACGTTTTGTTAGAACAATTTTTTCTGATACAAACCAGTCCCTGTGGCTGGCAGTTCTTGGATACACTGTGCATACTGCTAGCAACCCTCAGAACACCAGTGACTCCTACCCAGAGGTAAGCTTAGGCTTGGGTAGTCTGCAAGGGGCAGATTAAAACGTGGAATATGTTACTAAGCAAGAAATGCCCAAATCTGGTGTCATTTAAGGTCTAGTTTAGGGGGTCAGCAAACTTTCAGTATAGGGTCAGGCGGTAAGTATTTTAGGCTGCGTGGGCTACACAGTCTCTGTCTCAATTACTCCACTTTGTCCTTACACTGGAAAATGAGCCACAGATGACAGGGAAGCAAATGAGCCTGACTGTGTTCCAATAAGACATTATTTATGAACACTAAAGTTTGAATTTCATGTCATTTTCATGTGTCATGAAGTATTCTTGTGGGTTTTTTCCTAATCATCCAAAAACATAAACACCATTTCTAACTCACAGGTCATACAAAAACAGGTTGGTGGGTAGGTTTGGCCCATAGACCATCGTTTGCAGACCCCTGCTCAAGTAGCAAACCTGCATCCTTAGCATTTCCCCCTTGTCCTCTAGGTCGATTACCCCTAATCTGAAAATCTGAAACCCAAAGTACTTTGAAATCTGAAATGTCTTGAGGGTCAGGGTGGTATTGGAATTTTGGAGCATTTCAAACTTTCAGATTAGAAATTTTTAGAAATGATTAGAAACCTGTAAATATGCAAATATTTTAAGATCTGAAACATCTCTAGTCTCAAGCATTTTGGATAAGGGGTATTCACCCAGTGACTTTAGATAGTACCTTAATCTTTGCACCCAGCACAGATACATGCAGATGCTTAATATGCATCTCTTAGTGAAAGGATATGCCAAAAAGCTGGTCCCCAAAAAGAAAAACAAAAGTTGCTTAAAAGCAGACAGCAGGTTTCTGCGGTTTCTTGCCTCCTTAAGGAAGCTGGCTGACCTCTGGTGTATCAATGAACTCTGAAACTTCCAGACATAACTACATCAGTCGGTGTCACTGAGCCAGGCTCTGGATAAAGTTTACACTACCTGTACCTATCTTCTAGTGCATGAGAGACTGACAAATATTTAACTACCCGCAAGGCACGGATATTAACCAATGGCATAAGTGCTGTGTGGACAGACACTCTTAGTGCCCTGCCTAGAGTTAAAGCTTTCATTGCTTGATCATGAAGAAGTATGGAAGGTCTTGAGAGAGGAGCAGAGGGCACTCTTGAGGGACTCAGAGGAACAGCCACTGATCAAGCATTCTGGGAATATTTCAGTCTTGTTGGCGTATCAGCTGTTTTATAGGTCTGCTCCCACATGCTTCTGTTTCCTTAATCTTATAGACTGGAAGAGCTGAGCCATGGGGCAGACTGGCCACTGGGAGCTCACCCTTACTGGGGTTCCTTGCCTACCTGTTTAGGTGTTTCATGGCTCCCCATGAAAGCCCTCCTCCAAGCAGCAAGTGGGAGGCAGGGAAGGAGGGAATGAAGAGGTCAAAGGTTGAACTTCCTGTCTGAATCACTTGCAGGTTAGATCTCAGTCCTTTTCCTTAAATTCTTGCCTTGTAACATCTTTACCCCCTGCTTCCCCACCCACCTCTGAAGGATATCGCCTTCTGAGTTTCACTTATTTCTAACTCTAAATCATTTACCACTGACACTTGCTATGTGCAAATCATTTTTCATGCACATCTGACTTAACCCTCACAACTCAAGGTAACAGACAAGTGTGGCAAAGAAACTGTCCAAAGACACACATCCAGGACATGGCAGAGAAGGTCTCTAACCCAGGACCGTCCAATTCCAGAGTGTAGGGGCTTAATCACAATGCTAAGACATGTAAATCATTGACACGGTGGTTCATTCCTTTTTCTAACTGGTAAACCTGCCTTGTGCTTTGGTTGAGTTTGTGCCCAGGGATCTTACCCAAAGACTTGAACACTGTGGTCTTCTCACAGTGGGCTGGCTTCACTCCCTTTATCACTTCTCCCAGCTCAGCAAAGATCTCAGCCTATGAAACAAATGCAAAATTGACCCAGGTCTGAAGCAAAGACTGCTCAGGGTTGGCTTTTGGAACCAACATGGAGCATAGCAGGAAATGATAAGGGTCAAACTTGAAAAAAAAAAAAAAGACCTGGGTTATATCAGGAGGATGCTGCCTTCTGAAGTCCTATTTGGCTAGCATCTACCTTTTTGATGTCATGTATACAAAGAGAGACCCAAGTTTGTACTTAGCGGGCTGTGTCAGTGACGAAATGGGCTTATTCTTATCTGAATGCATTTTTAGAAGCTCCTTTCTTGCTTCAGTGTCCTGATTACAAGGGGAAAAGGCAACCTAGGTGACCACAGTCCTATTGTGCTGGCCACATGGGAAGGTTTCCCAGCTGCAGCAGGTTCCCTCCCATCTCCCAGGCCTGCTGCCTCCTAGCACAGCATAATGGGAAAATCTCCTACGCTTCTATTTCCAGGTAGAGGGGACAGGGAAATGCATGCCATTGCCATAATGGCCACATTTTTCTGTGATGGGATTCAAAAAGGGTTGCAAGAGGTTTAGGAACGTCTTCCCCGGCAGGAGGTGGGATGTCTGAGGTACGGAGGAGGACGAACTGCAGGGAAAGTTACCCTGGGCTGCAGTGGGGCCAGCCAGGCACAGCCCCAGTGGGTGAGAGGACACTCACCCCTGACAACAGTATGTCTCCAGACTCTTTCAGGGCAGCCTCTTGGGAATCCACATATAGCACTGCCTGCTTCATGAGCTCGTCATCCAGTTCTCTCCAGTCGGGTCTGCTGGCTCCAACTGCTACAAGATAACAAAACTGACCCTCAGCCGGGGAACGTCCCAAGGGATACTAGTAGGGACAAGCTACGGGTGAAAGGCCATGTGGGTTTAATTGGACTAGAACACCACCTCTGCTCCCAAGAAAGTCCCGCCCCATGTGTGAGACTGAAGGCTCATTAAAAATAATACCTACCATTTTTTCCTTTGTTTCATATCCTACCTTATTCCTAAACGATTTTGAGGTCACTTAATATCATTTACTGAGTACTTATAATACTGTGAGATGTTTTACGTATACTATTAATGGTCCTCACGAGTATATTTCAGTGTCTGATTCAATTCCCAGCTATCAAATGCACAATTTGAGGTTCTGAGAAGGAAAGGCACCTGCTAAGGTTATGTAAACATCAGTGAATCTATGTCTGAGAAAGTGCCCTGGCCTTCTCTTAAGTGCTTCTGCTGCTTACTGGGAGCCATGTTCTTACCAAAACCCTGAAACACAAACATCACTCGGAGCACATTTATACCCCACACTCTTCGCCCTCTGTCTGTCTGCTTGTACTCCAATCAGTCCCATTCCTCACCCTCAAATGCTTTCTTTTTAACTCATGACAAAAGAGCCCAGTGTCATGGTCACAGAGAAGGCCCAAGAAAGAGAGAAAGCTGGCCCCCTGCTGGCCTTGAGCATTCACATCCTCTGCAGAGGCCTGGACCGAAACAATGAAGGCATTACATCACACCACCTGCCACAAGGACATAGGAAAATGCAGCCAGAGGCTAGCAAAAGCCTGCAGAGCCAGGCAGGTAATGAAAAGGAGCAAGGCCCGTAGAGAGTCTAGATCGGAAATGGTGGTGACCTGGATACACAGACCCTTCACATGGTTTCAGCTAACCAGTACTGTCTGTGAATACACATCCACTGTTACCAGATATTCCCATTTCAGAGAGAGAGAGAGAGATGTGCTATTTCTTGACTTCTCTGTGGTCCAAACAAAATATATGTGCTGGCTGGATCCAGCTGGCAGCAGCTGGTCTTTGAAAATGACTATAAAGCCGTATCCAAACGTAAGGCAGCATTTGTATGCCTTCTTGCACTGCCATCCACCTTTCTTTCCTTCTCCCTTTTCCTGCTTTCTCCCTCACACTAATTTCCAAAGAGAGTGGTATAAGAATGTCTGTCTTGAAGGCTGGGAGTTCTACAGAACAAAAGCTGAAGCTTGTAAATAAATCATAAGGCAGTGGGAAACTCGGTTTCTCAAGCCGCCTTTCCTCATTGCATTTCTCCCCCCAGACAGTCACTAGTTCTCAAAGGGTTGTGTGAGGCTACTCAGGCAGATGGAGGTGAGCCAGGGAGCAAAGGAGGGGCCTGGCTCAGACTGGGCTCTGGCTCCCCTCAGGGGTGCAAGAGAGTGAGCCTCACGTGCTTGTCACTACAACACTGGGTATTGATACCATCTTCAAATCTTCTAGACTTTGCCTGCTCTGCTCACCAAAGCCAATCTCATTATTGGAGAAAATACCAAGTATTGCTCAAGAGCCTGAGCTCCGAGAACAGACTGCCTCCACTCTAATCCCAGCTCTGCCACCGAGAACCTCTGGCTTTGGGGAAGCTACTTAATCTCTCCATGCCTTGGTTTACCCATCTATAAAACGGGGGCCATGATAAGTAAGGTTCCTACATCACAAGGTCTTTATAAGGATTAAATGACATAATACATCTTGGCAATTTAGAACAGTATCTGTAATAGAAGTACCAATTCTTGCTGTAAGCCCCTGAGGCCATTTAGAAATCTCCTGAGGCCCCAGGCACACTCATGTTTAGAGACCCTACTCCTCCCCACGCATATTCAAAAGCATGCACACACCACATTCAGTATCTTTTGTACTGTAATTTTTTGGGAAAAGTTTTATACTTCTAAGTGTTAAAAGCAAATGACTCATTAGGCCCTTGGGATCTAAGCTTCATCACACCTAAGAATGGAGCTGTGATTTGTCATAATGGTACACTTCACAGAACATTAGTTACTGAAATATTTATCAGTTTCAGGTTTGTAATTTCCTTGTCATATTTTGGGACACAGTTTTTCAGAGACCATACATTTCTGGGGCACTTATAGAGCTTGAACATTCTACATAATGAGGAAAGCAGCTGTGCAGACACAGGCCCTGCCTCTGTTGAGTCTTGGGAGGAGACTGGCCACCATGCACCCGTGGCTCGTGAAGCCTCTCTACTTACCATTGATGTGGGCCCCTGGCTTCACCCATTCACCAAATAAAATGGGCTCCGTGGCCATGGTGACCGTGATAATCACATCAGCACCTGTCACAGCCTCTTGCACTGATGAACAGACCCGTACCTCTCCTTGCACTGTGTTCGCAAACTTCTCTGCATTTTCCATGGTGCGGTTCCATATCCTTACCTTCATTGGGGACAACAAGAGGGACACTCATGCCATTTTTTGACCATAGGAAAAAGAACAGAAGTCATTGTGATTGTGGATACAAGGATCATAGGAAGGATTATTTATAGCAACAATTTGCATGGAATGTAATTGGGATCTAAAGTTGGGAATACAGTTGATCTCTGAAGGGTATTCAGGATCCTTCTCTGAAGGATTCAAGATCAAAAGCACTTGAAGGTGAATGGTATGGTGGATAAAAAAGGCCAAGAGTAGAGCTACAATTTGAGTCATGGAAGACAATGGGGTGGGTGTAGAGAGCTGTCATCTGTATTACCAGGACCTGGGGACGCACTAGCTTATTCACAGGTTTCAAAGTTTGGGTCAGGGGTTGTCTTTTTTGTTTGGTACCAGGGATTGAACTCAGGACTTTGCACTTGCGAGGCAGGTGCATTGCCACTGAGCTAAATCCCCAGCAGGTTGTCATTTTTAAACTGAAAATAAGGTCCAAAGAACCTCTCATAAGAAAATATAATACATAAAGTTCAGCAACTAAGAGAGAACTGATACATTACACCCAGACACAAGTGACTGGCTAACCATGCCACATTTCTTGATAGGAAACTATCATTATATGTTAGGAAATATTATGTAAAAATTAGATAATCTGGAAAAGTGATGTTAGAACATTTAAAGAAAAACTGGGATATACAATTGTGCATATCTAATGTAATCAAACCTATGTTATAAAGTTGACGAGAGGAGACTGGAAAACATTAACCGCTTGTCTTTGAAAATAGACAAAAGGGTATTTTGTTTTCTTCCTTATAGTCTACAGTTCCCAAAGCAGAGATATTATTTTCTCCTAAAAATGTAAATGTTAAATCTGTTCCACCACACTTATACACATACAGAAAATAAAATCAAAATAGCACCAAATATTCTTAGCAGGAAGCATGAGCCACGGCAGGGGGAAGGTGGGCCAATATGCAGACTGGAGAAGGGGTCTCTATGCTACTAGGTCTCTTCCCTAGTTCTTGGATGCATGGCCCTGAATACTAAAAGCCTCCCAGATTCTCTCGAGAGAAGCAGAGAGAAGGGCTAAAAGGACAACTCATGCAGTAGACAAAATAGCATCCTTTAACTAACCAGCAGAATTGCTGCATCCTTAGGCACAAGCCCTGTGAAGTGAGAAACTGAAACGATGTGATCAGACTTCCTCCCAGCTCTTCACCTCCATCACCGCCCATGGGGCTTGCAGGAAACTCATTAAGGTACAGAACTCTCTAGGTTGGATTCTTTACCGAACTATTTCAGAATAACCCACAGTGCAGTGAACGAGTACAGAAGTCACGGCCATTCTCTTCACTCTGCTCTCCTCTCAAGCCGCAGACCCCGACTCACCTCCTTAAAGGAGAACTGCTCTGTGAAGATCTCATAATGGCTGTAGGCCTGGACACCCGCCCCAAGGATGCACAACACGTCACTGCCAGGAGGTTTCAAAAACTATATGAGAGAAATGAGAGAGAAAACATCAAGGGATGGCCACCGGGTAAAAACAAATTCTGTACAGTTCAAAGATCACGTGGCTTCTGCCACGTCTTCAGCTCCCTCAACAGCTTGTGGACAATCGAGGAGATGGTACTGTGTCTCAGTTTCCCCTCTGTAGAGGGGGGAGGGTGTGCCTTCACTGAGCACCTAATATATGCCAATGCCTTATCCTCATGATCTCATTTCCTCTGGACAAGGACCCTGTGAGCTGGAGATTCCTGTTATTATTCTCTTTTTACAGATAAGGAGATTGTGATCCAGAGAGGTTAAGTATCTTCTCAGAGTTCAGCGACTATAGTACAGTACTAAATATCCCAGGAGCGCTCCAAAAGCACACTCCATAACCTACAACCATGTTCTTTCTGCCTTGCTACATCTCAGGTGTGTGCTAAGCAACTCCTACTTTTCAGAGCCCTGAGCTGCTTCTAAGAGCTGCCTGGAATCCTTGAACCCTTGCAATATTTGCTGGGTCCTCATTCTTTCACTTCCTTTAAAGATAAATATAGAGCTGGGGATTTAGCTCAGTGGTTTCGCCGCTTGCTGCGCAAGCGCAAGGACCCGAGTTTGATCCCCAGCACCAAAAAAAAAAAAAAGATAAGCATAGAACTGGCTTTTGTGACACCTCCTAAGGGTGTATGTGTTTCTGTTTCAGAATAGGATGTTGTGATCAACTTCTACCAAGCGTCACCTCTCCAATGAAGTCTTTTGGGCCTTCCCAATAGAATTCACCACTCCACAGCACTTGTTTATAGATTTATTTTCTTGTACTGGTCTTTAAGGCCCTGAGCACCAAGGCAGTTTTATTTGCATAGAAATAGTGCATGTCTGTTATGAACCATATGAAGTGCAGCAGGGTTTCTCAATCTTGGCATTACTGAAATATGAGCTGGCTCATCCTTTGTTGGTGGCGGGAAGGGCTGTCCTCCTGCTCAGTATAGAATACTTAATAGCATCCCTGATTTCTGTCCATTTGATACCAGTAGCAGTGGTAGCAATCAAAAATATCTCCAAACATTGTTAAATGTTTCTGGAGTAGGTGGGAAAATCATGCTTGGTTGTGAACAATGGATATAGAGAAAGACATCACTTGCCTCTCAGGGCATATGTATTAAGTAACTGCCTTTTCTTTATTTCATCTAGTAAAATTTTAGCTCCTTGTATCTCCTTTTCTCTGCTTTGCTTTTCCTTTCTTCTTCAGTTCTGGGAATTGAACTCAGGACCTTCACGCTGAGCAACATCACCCGCCATTTTCAATTTTTAGACAGACTCTCACCAAGTTGTTAAGAAGCCCGGGCTGTACTTGTACTTCCAGTCTTCCTGTCTCAGCCTCCCAGAGTGCTGGAATCACAGATATGCGCTACCTGGCATTAACGACTAATTATTCCCCCTCAAAAAAGAATCTAAGACTATTAGGTGATGTTCATCTTCCTTAGCTGCTGAAGGAGAGATATCATTCTTTACCATAAAATACAGTTTTCAAAATGACAGTATTCACAAGCACTCTTATGCTCTTTTCCAATAAAGAGAACTGAGTGGTTTTTCTTTAACTATTCTGCTTTATTTATGTTCTCATTTAACATGAAGTCTATTCTTGGAAGTGTACTTGAGCTTAAGAGATTATTAGTGTCTGTAAAAGTAACTTTCAACCCCTGAAACTAAATCTGTAATTGTGATTGGTTGCCTTATTTTATAATTTGCTTCCCTGACGATTGACATCTCTGCCCTTAAACGGGATAAACATCTGTAAGATTTATTAAGTCATAATAGGCATAATGGTTCTTCATTCTTTTCTCATAAGCATGTAGGTAATTCAGAACACGAATAGGAATCTGCTAGGCTTCTCATTTAGACAAAGAGATTGAAAATCTGTTTCATTTGTCTTCACCCAGTCCTTACTGCCCTGGCCCTCCCAAGTATGCAGGCTGCTCTCATGTCACACTCCCCTGCAGTTCCTGTCTTCTGGACCCAAGCATATGTGCCTTCTTCAGTCAACAGGCCTTTGCACAGGTTCTTTCCCCTGCCTGGAATAATTTCCTTCTCCTTCTGATGAATAATTCCTATTATTCATTAAATTCCAGCTCAAATATATATCATACAGAAAAAGCCTTCCTGAATCTGGTAGACTAGATTCGGATCTCATGGCACTTATCACTGTTTAATTCATATTTCCTGGTGTGATCTTGTCTCCTGCACTGGACCCTGTGCTCCATGATCACATGCACTGTGTCTGGCTGTGCTCACCACTGTTTGCTGCATCCTAAGCACAGGGCCTGGCATCTGGTACCATTTAAATATTTCATTCAAATATTTGTTGAATAAATGCATGATAGGGATAATACAAATATATGTTACCACCTTGAGAAAGCATGTCAGAGTCTTCGACTAAGGTTATATGAAAACCAAGCACAAAGAAGGTATTTTGTCCCGCAGACCCCAGAGTCTCCTATACTTCCTACACTTCTCCCCAAAGGCCTAAATGAAAGAGAAGCAATGGACATGAAAACATCCTCCTCTCAACAGACCCTTTGTTCCTTATTGAAATAGCCCACCTGAGCCGCTGGGAACAAAGCTGAGTTTCAGCCTAAACTTCAAAGTGTGAAGCATAGATTTCTATTGATGTAACCAAACACAGGGTTACCAAGGGTTGGGTCTACAATGGCCTGATTCCCAAACCTAACTGATCACCAGAAGAAAAAGAAAAAAAATGTAACTTCCCACACCCCATCACTTAGCAATTTTGAGTCAATGATTCTGGGAATCTGATTTAAAACAATTTACAGGTGATGTTGCTGCATAGCTTTGGTTGGACGCTACTGATCTGCGACTTCCTAGAAGACTGTGTAGCCTTAAAGAACCCGGAGGTCTTGAGTATTCAAGGGGTGAGTGTTTTAATAAATATATTTTATTACAGTAAGACACGTTGCTGTTAATTCCCCTGAAAATACTCCCTCTCACTTTGAACACACTTATCCCATTATTTGTGTCACTTACTGAAGAAGTTCTGGACATCCTCTTTTCATTTATTTTCTGGGTGTGATAAAAAACATACAGTGAATGCTGCTGCTGAGTCCCATCCCATGGGAAGACAGGCTCATAAAAACATTATGGGTGTTCTTATCCACCTTACTCATGGATCGGCTACCATGCAACTTCTGCCTCTTCCCCAAAATCAAAATGACCAGGAAAAGTAAGTACTTTGAATCAATTCAGAACATCAAGACCGCTACAACAATGGAACTAAAGACACAAAAGAGGACTTCCAGCTCCCACACCCTGCACAAAGGAGAGTTAGGAACTGAGGCTGGTGCGTCTGAGCCGTTACAGAGCCCCAGCGTGCCAGAGATCGGTCTTTTCATTAGGAACCCATCCCGTGTTTTGATGTTACAATGTTTTCATGGTGGAACTGGTAGTTTCTCTGAGGTTTGGCTAAATCCTAAGTGATAGTGGATGATGTGGTTAACAGAACTAGAGCAGTGATGGTGGAAGAGATGATGGTCAAACTAGATCCATCCCAAAGAAGGGTTCTGTGGAGGGCTTTGAGCCTTCAGATAACAAATGTCTGTTGAGAGCTACTGATGGGAAAAAGAAGATCAGCACTGTGGTAAGCTCTAAAGAAATGAATAAGTTTCAGATGGCCTACTCAAACCTTTTGCGAGCTAACATGGATGGACTGAAGAAGAGAGGCAAAAAGAGCAAGAATAAGAAGACCAAAACAGCACAGTGAAGGGCACTGGATTCTCTACTTTTACCAGTTAACCAGTGAATTGGTATTTTTCCTTTGGTTTTTACTTTGGGCCACAAAGCTAGGTTTTTGGTTCCCCTGCTGGCAACTTATTTTCATGTCAGATGAGGGCCATTTCGGAGAGAGAAAGGTTACAGTTTACAGGGAAGTCGTGGTAAGAGACTAGTTTAGTTTAGATCTGTGCCGCGTGGTTGTGTATTCCTAGATTAGTTTTCAAAGGCCTCTGGTCATTTCCCTGAAGAGCAAGGTACCATTAAATGTTTGTTTCCCAGCACAGTCAAAAAAAGAAAAGAAAACAAAAAGAGGATTTCCAGCACTGCTTCATAAAGTGGCATGAATAATGGAGTAAGTGTGTTTGAAGCAAGAAGGAATATTTGGAGGGAAATTAATGGCAATGTGTTTTCACTGTAATAATTTTTTTAAAATTTAAACATACATTGTATTTCTTGATCCTTCAGGAAACCCTCCTCTCCATTTCATTCTGTGTAAAAAGAGTTCAATAATACTTTCTCTGCCTTCCTCACAGAAACTCAAAGTCCAGGCAATGAGTTGGACATTGTTTTGAAAAAGACCAAAGTCCTTTACAAATGTAAGGTAATATAAGACTCATTCTGTTTCTAAATCTCTGGCAAACACATTTTAAGGAGGCCTTTGATTGTTTCAATCTGAGTTGGCTCCAGATATGGTTAAAAACAAGTTCATCAAGGTACATGCCATAATCTACGTCTTTCATATGTAATTATCAGATTAATCCTGTATCCTTCCCTCCACATCATAAATTCAGAAAATCGTACAACCTGAACACCTGGTCTTGGCTGTTCCAAGCCTGCACTGTGATACCACACTTCCTAAATGCTAAGAAACCAGCATCCTACAACCTTGTTCTCCATTCAGTGGGAAACATTCCAGACTCCAGTTGTTCCCACAGACATCCCATTTTCTATGCTTAACTCTAACCTCTATTAAATATAGGGTTTTTCTGCGTGATGCCTCAAATTGCTTAGAAATATCATCACTCCCATCACTTTCTGGGCTGACTGGAGATACCTCCACATTTTCTCATGGTTCATTCCACACTTTCAGTATTTACCCAAAAGTCACCCTCTCAGTGAAGTCTTTTCCTGGATAATTTAAAATACCACCCCCTCCCCAATACTCTTGATTCTGCATCATTTTTATCTTTCTACCTTACCATGTGGCGTTTTGAGATGGTTGGCTGTATTTTTAAGCAAACTCTAAGCACACAATATTCTATATTAATGAATATTAATTATTCAATAATGAAAGATTATCATGGTTTATTATTATGTAACATTACTAAACACAAAATATTTTTTGTTGTTTATCTTTTAAGCAAATCATATTCTGTGTTTCGCTTTTTGATTTTTATTGTCTATATCACCTATGTGCGCTACTCTGTTTTGTTCACTGCTGGATTCTCAAAAGTTAGAACACCTGACACTTGGTAGGTACTAGGTCCACACTGGTTGAATAAATACAAGTATGGCATGGCTCTCTTCTGCTGTCTCTCTTCCTCTTGTGTTGTGTTGGTTCTGACTCACCCGGCAAGCACACTGACTTGGAAGCACTAATGTCGTACTGGGTTGAGGATGCAGTACTTAGAGTTGAAGATGCCAAGTTACAAATTCTTGCTCTATCACTTCTTAGCTGTGTAATCCTGGGCGACTCAATAACCACTCTGAGCCTTAATGCCTCTTCCTGACAAATGGAGACAATCACATGTACTCTGCAAAGTTGAAGGGAGGGCTGGGAGTTATGCCTGTGAGGTACTTGGAATCTGGCTGTGCACATGAAATGGTAGCTAAGTATTTCATGAATCACCATGCTCACGTGTCTCATATTTGGCATGTGGAGTTCCAGCTATCTCCAAAAGAAGACCAGAATATTTTCTGCATTCTCTTAGACCCTCAAGATTGAGTCACCCAACCCCATCAACCCCCTCGCCTCAATTCCACAGCCTGCCAATAATCTTACCTTGGTGGCAATGGCAGATACTGCAGCTGTTCTCTTGGCAGTTATGACATTTCCATCCATGACCTTGGAGGAAGGAGAGACAGTGAGCACAGGTCACCTCTATTACTTAGACCAAAGAAGCAATAACTGTACAATAACAGTTGTACAATATTCTACAGAGAGCATGCCTTGGTGCAGACTTGGATCGAGTTCCTCCACTTATGAGATATGCAACTTTAAACAAACTGTTTAATCTCTAAACACAGGTTTCCTCATCTGTAAAAAGGCCAACCATTCATAGGGTTACTGAGAAGATTAAATGCACTGGCATATGGGAAAACATCTAGCACAGAGTGAGTTCTCAAGAATTGTCTATTTTGAAAATAAGAACCAAGAGACTCATGTAATGGTACGAGATCCCAATGATGAATGTAACTGCATTTTATACCTAAAATGTACCAATAAAGTTAATAGGGGAAAAAAAAAGAATTGCCTATTTTGTTTGCTTGCTCTGAGATTCTCAAAACACCAAATTAAGGAAGAATTTGAGAGATAAGTTTGTCATTTCACATATGGGCAAGAGCCTGAAACTCCACCTAAGTGGTTCTCAAATCGTGCTGCACACATGGGGAGCTTTGTAAAGACACTATTCCTATATACTACCTTCAGACTTACTGAATCTGAATCTTGGACTAGGGGCATAGTTCAGTGGCAGAGTGCACGCCTAGCATTCATGAGGCCCTAGCTTTAATCCCTAGTGTGACACAAACACAAAACCAAAAAAACAAATTATTGAGTCTCTAGGGGCAGGACCCAGATATCCTTGTTTTTAAGAGCTCCCCAGGTGATTCTGATGCACAGTAAGAGCCGAGAATTATTCCTAGTTAATAATAACAACCACCCTTTATATTGATCTCCATTTTTAAATTATTGTCTTCAAGCACCCTTTAAAAAGTGGGCATCGTTATTCTCATTTTACAATGAGGAGTTACTGAGAAGGTGAAGTAAGGATCTCGGCCCCTGTCCTACTGCTTCAAAGGCCCACTCCTCGCTTTGCTGGGGAACCACTGTTGTAAATAGCACAGATACCATCGCCACTGGGAGAGTATAGGTTTGCAAGAGTAAGATACTCTTCTCAGAGGAATGATGAACAGCCAGATTTCATGGGGAAAGAGAAAAACTTAGGGGAGAAGGAAATTCTAAGAGCTGACTTCGAAGACACATAAAAGTGTCAGCTCCAGTCACCTAGACCTAGGAGTGGTTCCTGAGTCTTTCACTAAGTAGCTGTGTGACCACCTGCAAAGTGGCTCTACTAATCTGAGCTACAAGGTCCACAACAAAAACTGAGGGAAAGAGGTTACAAAAAAATCTCATGGAGGAATTAGTCAGGATTGAATGTGATCAATCTCCTGTCTAGCAGATGATAAATATGCAATAAGTGGCAGGTTAAAAAGCAGGAGAGCATAGTGTTAGGATAGGACACAGGCTTAGGCTGGGGAGGTTTGAAGTCCAGCTATAATGCTTATTCGCTGCAGTGGTCTGGATAAGTTGGGAACAGTTTGATTCAGTTTCTCATTTGTAAAGTGGGGGTAACACTATCACCTACCTTGTAATAGGGGAGAAAGGGGAGAATAGTTTTAATTATGAAGAGGGATAATACATGTTGTGTTTAGAATAGCGTGGGACACATAAAAACAATACATGTAAGTCACTGCTACTTTTTGATACTATGATTAGATGTTGAAAACAGCTCACTGTAGATCCTTCAGAAAGATCTCACAGATGAGATAACACCCTTTCCATGTTGACAAGGATTCAGTAAATAAATGTTTCCTCAGCTTCCGGTTTAGTTCAAGCTGTGTGTTTGGGGTATCTGAGCACATGATGAGAACATATACAAAAATGATGTGATTATTTCCACAGTCACGCACTTGAAGGGGCAGGAGGCTCAGGCGCATCCTCAGGCAATCTTAGAAACAGACACTGTCACGGATAAGCTTCACTGTCCCTACTATCCAGTCACTTGGAGAGGGGCATTTAGGGTTACAATCAACCCACCCACATCCCCACTCACGGAGAACCAATTTCTGAGCCTCGCTCTCCCACCACCACCGCTCTAGGGGGTTGCTCACCGCCAGCAGGGAGCCGGTGCCGGGCTCGAAGAGTAACACAGCAGCCTGGTGGGAGGGGACGGTGGAGCTGGTGCTGTGGCCCTCGTAGAAGGTGACCAACTTGGTGGTCAGGGCATCCTCTGCTGCACTGTAGACCGGCATGACGCCCAGGAAGCTACAAGGAGAGAGGGAGCCGATTCACCCGCTTCCCATCACCCCGGGCGTGTCCTAGAAAGTCCTCCCGGGCCTTTCCGTGTTCTCCAGCGCAGCCGCACCGACACCCTCCTGGTCCCCCGGTTCCTCTGCCCTTCTCTGAGGCGGAATAAATCCACAGTATGCTCAGGAGCCTGGCTCTGGACCAGAAAACCATCCCAGCTCTGCCACTTATTAGCTGTGTGAGCGGAGCGAAATCACTTAACCTCTCAGTCTGTTTTCCACCAGTACAATGGTGGCATCAACACCTGCCTTGCCAAGGAGAGTGCGCTGACCTGGACCGGGTAACACCTGTAAAGCGCCCGTTCAGCAGTGACTCGAGCCACGATTAAACAAGCCCTCTCCCCTGCGCCACCGCTTCCTTGGCGTTCCTCCAGCCGACCCCCACCTTTCTCACTCACCCTCTGTGCTTGGACACGGGCACCATGGTGCGCACCGGCTGCACGACGCCTCCGTCCGGGCCGCTGGAGAAGTTGGCCAGAGCCACCTCCAGAGGCGGGATGAGGAGGCTGGAGCTGCGCAGGTGGCCCTGCACCTCGGCCGAGCTCAGGAACGCGGGTGCCGTGCTCATCTTGCCGCTGCCTTCCAACCTCAGCCCGAGCCTCAGTCTGAGCCCTTCCGCGGCGCCCTATTTGAGCAGCGTGCTGACAGCTGCCCGGCCTCCGGGGCGGAGCAACGCGAGCCTGTCTCCGCCCACTCCGCCCTCCGGCGGTCAGGACAGGTCCCCTCCCGAGGTGGGGACGAGCTCAGAACCGTGCTGCCAGGCCCGGAGGTAGAATTCTTCGGTCTAATTTTTAGTTCGTGCAATGAGCTGTGGCCACGTCCTTCAGCAAGAGGTTTAGTACAGGGTTCTGGTGCCTCACCTGCCCCTTCCCTACCAACTCAGTTAGTGGCTGTTGTCTTGGGAAAGGGCAGAGGAGAGGGGGATCTTCGTGGCGGGGTTCTTTTATTTCTTAAATTATTACCTGCTGCTAGACGATCTTAGATAAAAAGAGACGAGGGTTATTAAACATTTTCCTTTCGATTCCGTCCCCATCTGGGTCTCTAATCCAAATCTCCCTCTCATGACCACCCCGGAACCCAGGCTGTTGATCAAGTGCACAATTATCTCTCAGGCTAACTAACCAAACTAACTCTCACCTTTAAAAAGGGGGAGATTCCCAGGGCAAGGTGCAATGACCTCAGTCAAACAGAGGGAAAATGCAGTGTATTTTTTTCGAGTTCATATTGCACCTGAATTGGGTGAAGAAGACAAGTAACTGGTAGAGTAACTAATGACAGAACCCCACAGCCCCTAATCCAGCGACTAGGAAGCCGTTTTTCTGTAATTCAAAAAGAGGAATTATTGGGACCTGGATTGGTTCGAGAAGAGTGCCCTGAAGGAGCAGTTGAAACTAAAACTTGAAATAATAATGTCAACAATGATGACAACACTCAGTTATTGATCTTCCCTAGTACCAATATTGCACAATGCAGGAAAAAAATTCTTACTAGCTGTTCCTCAGACGAAAGTCCACTATCTAGAATAATAAAGAACTTGAAAAAATCAGACCTCCCAAATTTAAAGACCCAATCCAAAAATGGGCATCTGAAATAAACAGACATTTCTCACACAAAGAAGTAGAAATAGCAAATAAATACATGAAAAAATGTTCAACATCACTGGTCATTGGAGAGATGCAAATGAAAACAACACTGAGATTCCACCTCACCCCAGAAAGAATGGCTGCTATCAAAAAATCACCCAATAACAAATGCTGGCAAGGCTGTGGGGAAAGAGGAACCCTGCCCCACTGCTGGTGGGAGTGCAGACCGGTGCAACCTCTGTGGAAATCAATATGGAGATACCTCAAAGAACTAGGATTGGAAGTCCCATTTGACCCAGCTATTCTCCTGCTGGGTATCTTCCCCAAAGAATTAAAAGAATCATACCACAGTGATATATGTGGACCCATGTTCATAGCAGCACAGTTTGTAATAGCTAAAGCTTGGAAGCAGCCCAATTGCCCATCAACTGGAGACTGGATAAAGAAAATGTGGGGTTTTTTTTTTATAAAGTGGAATACTACTCAGCCATAAAGAATCAGAAATTAGAGACATTCATAGCTAAATGGATGCACATTGAGGCAATACTCTTAAGTGAAATAAATAGGACAGACATGTGTAAATACCGAACAGTTTCTCTAGTGTGAGAAACTGAAAGTATAAATAAGGATCAAAAGGTATGGTAGATAATGTGAAATAGGAAGAAAAGGGGCAAAGGGGAAGGGGAAGTGAGAAGGGTAGGGAAAAGAAAGAAGGGAATGGAATTAATATGAGAAAATGAAAAAAAGGAAACAAAGTCTCTGTAAATAGGGAGGGCTGAGGGGTTGAAGGGAGGGTAGGGGAAGGGGAAAAAATAAGAACCAAGATATATTATGTAAATGTACAAATTTCTAATGATGAATGTCATTATACGGCAAACCTAAAATGTACCAATAAAATTAATTCAAAGTCAAAAATGTTGTGTAAGACCGTGGGCCTTACCAAACGCTCCAAGGAGCTGACTGCAGTGAAGCACACCCAGGGATCCCGGCGGTGCCTCCAGAATGTAAGAGCGTGGGCCTTACCAAACGCTCCGAGGAGCTGACTGCGGGAGGGAACACACCGGACAAGTTGGAAAGTAAAACAGACCTTTATTAGTCTGGCCAGATGGCACTCCCAAAGCAAAGTAGCTTAGAGAGGCAACTGGCTCAGAGTCCGAGGCTGTTTTTATAGGGGGTTGAGGGGGAGGTTAACATATAGATTTACGAGAAAAGGAACAAAGGTTAGTGGTTGGCTGTTACGTACTGATGGTTGGCAGACACACACACTAATGGTCACAACTGTCATGTACTGATGGTCGGCAGACACACTGATGGATTGTCCTACAGATAGTGGGTTCAGGAACGTCCGTTCTCCGGACAAACAAGGAGTTGAGTAATTTACTTTTAAAACTCCATGTCTGTTACAAATTTTATCTAGCTTCCCAGAACTAACAAGCTTCTTAATCATTAACTCACATTTAATTACAGTCAGGGCTACAAGAATTCTAAGATTACAAGGTTTTGCAGTCCCACAGTTGCACAATACACTTTATGTGCATTATCTCATTCAATTACACAACAACCTGGGATGTATGCAGGTGCTGTTGTTAGCATCGCTGTCCTTTGCAGGCTCTGAGAAGGGAAGGGGCTTTGTCCAAATCATCCAGCAAGTCAGCAGGGGAGCTGGGCTTCACCTGTGGAGTCAGACTGCAGAATTACTATTGTACTACTCTGGCAGAGAGGGAAGAAGAGGGCTTTTCAAGCCAGGTAAAGCCCACAAGAGGAAGGAATGTTGCCCAGTCCTTGGGAACAGTGAGTTGCCAGACAAGTCAGGCTGGAACAGGGGGCTGGTGTCTGGGAACATCAGGAGATAAAACTGGGAAACCTTCTTAGAGTCAGGCGGCTAAAGAGGGTGATTCTTTGGAAAGAAATCACAGGATCAAAGAGATTAAACATTTACAAAGATGGGTCCTATGCCAATGTATAGAATGGCAGGGATGAACAAGAGTGGAGCTTGGGAAGATGTGTGCACAATTTCCTGTTATTTTAGTTGGGATCTATATAGGGGATTTCTTAGGAAATGGCCACATCAAAACAAAAAGCAGGGCATAGGGTAAAAATATGTACTAAAAAACCATATGTAATGCATTTAGCAAGTGGTTGGTATAGAGAAGCCACATAATAAAGAAACCTCTCCTTTAGTATTATCAAAGGAGAAAAAACCCTGATAGCTAGGAAAAGCTGATGTCAGTACATACACGATTTTGTTTCTTCAGTTTACTACCCCTAGAAACTCATGCCCAGAGTCGATGGGGTTATAGAAATGTTAATGGATCCTTATTTGTATTAATAATTATTGTTACATAATATTTACTGGATTAAAAAAAACCACAGAGGTATAAAGAAAATAAACAATTTGGTCTGTTGTTCTTGAGGAGGGAAAAAAGTAAAACAAAATACTAAAAAACTAAAAGAGAGATATGAAATAGGAAAGCCAGATATTTATTTACTTCTATTGTGAGTTAAGGAATTTGTTCCAGGCTAAAAGAAAACTCTAGTATTTGTTTCTAGTAAGTCCTATAGGGATAGGACTAGTTTGTAAATCACTTCAAATTATCTTTCTTATACAGCTTTGGATAACATGACATAGCCCTTTTTTATTTTTAATTTTGAGACAAGATCTTGCTAAGTTGCCCAGGCTGGGCTCAAACTTGCAGTCTTCCTGCCTCAGCCTCCCAGAGTGCTGGGAATATGGGTGTGCACAGCCACACCAGGCTTCTTAGGTATTATTGAAGTTTTAAATTTTATTATTATTAAAATAATAAAAGTACTAACTAATGTAGTAATGATTTAATAGAAAGAACGTTAATAAGCTCATTTGTAAGGCAGGGGCTAGTACCCTGCAAGTTAGCATAACCCTCCTTTTCCTGGCCTCCTTGGAGGCCATCCTGGGACAAGCCTAAAGGGTTGGTACGACCTTTTACCTGTGCCTCTGGAAATTCCCTGCTAAACCTCAGACACATCCTGGGAGGGACAAGGTCTCCAGTCTTCTGCCACCACCACACCGAAAGTGACTGCAAGGCAGAGCTGTCCTCAGGGTGAGGTCAGTATAATGACCCAGGTATTCATCTACAGCACAAAATTAATGGGACATACTCAATACTCAAGATAACTATTAAACATTGAAATGCAACACTTAAAAACGCAAAATACACTATGAACAAAATATCCAAATTTTAAAGACAGGATTAGAGTCTCCCTTTTGCTTCCGATTCCAACACAGCTCCTTTTTAAAGTTTTTAACTTTAATTTTAAAAACTATTTTTATTAGTAATAATCTTGACCAGTAATTGGCATCCCTTAAATGGTGCGGCCACGGCGAAGGTCTCCCTTCCTTTACTCCTAGTCTCCCCAGTTCTGGAAGCAGTGCGGCCGGCCCTGGGCCAAGAGTAGCTCACTGGAATCTTTGGGACTCTGGCAAAGGGCGCGCAGGAGGCAGCGCCCCGGCTCCTCCCCGCGCGGACCCCGTCCTCCACCCTCCGGCTGCCAGCGGCGGTTCCGCTCCTTGCGCCGCTGCGCGAGGGCCTCGGGAGCTGGCACCGCGCAAGGCGAACGCGCGCCCCTCAGTGGCGGCGGCGAGGCCTGACGGTGCCTGCTCCCTCCGGGGCCCTCGCTCCTGCTGCTCCCGTTCCATTCCTGCTGCGCTCCCGCTGCTCCCTGACACCTGGGAGGCCGGACAAAAACAATTCTAACTAGTCTAGTTTATTAGCTTTTCTGTTGTTGTTGTTGGGGTTTGACACAGGCGACTCCATCTTGATATGGACGACCTCTGTGTCTCATAGAGCTTTTTAAAATTGCAGTAAAACACAACATAAATTTAACCTTTTTAAAAAAACCCTTTTAAAGTGTACAATTCATTGGCTCTTCCTACATTCGCGGTGTTGTGCAACCATCTCTACTGATTCCAGAAGACTTTCACTACTCTCCAAATTAAACAGTCACTGTCTGATGCCTCTTACCTGCTGTTCCTGGGCGACCGCCATTTTTTTGTGTCTGTGGATTTGTGGATTCTAGACATTTCATGTAAAGAGAATCATATGTGCCTTTTTGTGTCCAGCTGTTTTTAGTTAGCATTAATGTTTTCAAGGTTCCTGTATGGTGTAACATGTATCAGTACCTCATGAACATTTATATACATGTGCTTGTATGCCCATATGTTTTCTACTGTCTTGGGTATATACCCAAGCATGGTATTGATGTTATATATGGTAATTCCGTTTAACTTTTTGAGGAACTGCCAACCTGTTTTGCATATGGGCTGCACCATTTTACATCCTCATCATCAGTGCATGAGGGTTCCAGGTTTCCACATTCTCATCAACACTTTTCATTTTCTATTTTGTTTGTATTTTAGCCATTCTAGAGGAGTATGAAATGGCATCACGTTGCATTTCAAATTTTCGTTTCTCTCCTAACTAATGATGTTGAGCACCTTTTTATTTACTTACTGGTCATTTGTATAATTTCTTTGGAGAAATGTCCACTTAGAGGCTTTTACTCATTACCTAGTTGGGTTGGGTTGTCTTTTTCATTGTTGAGTTGTAAGAGTGCTACATAAATCAGGTTAGGAAACCTTTATCAGATGTATGATTTTCCAGACCTTTATTCCATTCTTTGTGCCATCCTTTCCTTTTTTTTTTCTAATAGTGTCCTTGATACTCAAAAATTATTTTTTAAAAATTGGTGAACTCATGGCTTTATCCTAAAAAACACTTTTGGGAAGTTGGATGAGTGGGCAACCCACTTTCTGGTTCCCCTTCTGTCTCTCTTAGAAGCTATCTTTCTCTCAATAAATTTTTTGTACTCTTAAAAAAAATTGGTGATTTTATTTATATCTTCTTTGGGTATTACACTGAAATCCTGATTATGAAGGCTTACTGCTGTTTTATTCTAAGAATCTGTTGTTTCTGTTCTTACATTTGGGTAAATGATCCATTTTGAGTTAATTTTTGTACATGGTGTAGAGTAAGAGTCTAACCTCATTCTTTTGTATGCGGCTGGCTAGTTGTTCAAGCATCATTTTTTAAAAAGACTGTTCTTTAAAAAAAAAGACTGAGCATGGCACCTTTATTGTTCATTGATTGTAGAAGTATAGATTTATGTCTAGATTCTCAATTCTATTCCACTGATTTATATCCATGTCCTTTTTTTTAGTACTAAACTGTTTTGATTACTGTCACTTTGTAGGAAGTGTTGAAATCAGAAAGTGTCAGGCTTCCAATTTTGTTCTTTTTCAAAATTATGTGGCTATTCAGTGTTCTTGTAGTTCCAGATGAATCTTAGGATTGTCTTGTCCATTTCTGCAAGGAAGGCAGTATGAGTCTTGGCTCTGTAGCTCGACTTGGGGACTATTGCTACTCTCTTAACAAGAGTATATCTTTCAGTCTGTGAACACAGGATGCTTTTTCATTTATTTTGGGTCTTGTTTAACTTTGAAACAGTGAATTGTCATTTTCCATGCACAAGTCCTGCACATCTTTAAATTTACTCCTAGGTATTTTACTCTTTTTGGTGCTATTGTAAGTGAAATTGTTTTAACTTCCTTCTAGGTTGTTCATTGCTAGTATATGATGTGTGATCAAAATATACAGTGCATGTTTAAATTTCAAACTTTATTACACTAAAAGACGCATTGCCATTAATTCTTCTAAATATCCCCCCTTGCTTCAAATGTATTTATCCCATTGTTCTTGACACTTTCTTAAGCAGTTCTGGAAGTCCTCTTTTGTAAGTGCCTTTACAAGATGTGATCAAAAATACAGTGAATGCTGCTGCTGAGTGCCTTCCCATTGAAAGGCAGCTCATGAAAACACTACTGTGTGTCTTCAACTACCTTATTCATCATATCTGACACCACATGACTTCTGGCTCTTCCACAAAGCAAAATGACCATGAGAGGTAGGGATTTTGAATGGATTTAGGACATGGAGGTAACCACAACAGTGCGGCTAATGACATGGAAGAGGACTTCTAGAACTGCTTCAGAAAGTGTCAAGAACGATGGGATAAGTGCATTCAAAATGAGGGATCAATGGCAACATGTCCTTTATTGCAATAAAAATTTTAAAAATTCAACATTCGCTGTTATTTATCAGTCATACCTTATATAAAAATACAACTTTTTTGGTATGTTGATCTTCTTTCCTGCACCTTTGCTGAATTTATTAGCTCTAGTAGTTTCATTTGTGGTTTCTTTAGGATTTTCTACATATAATACTATGTCATCTATGAATAGAGATAGTCTTTGCTTCCTTCTTTACAGTTTGGATAATTTTTATTTCTTTTCTCTTGTTTCCTTTCTTACTTCTTTCTTGTCCTTTCTTCTTTCTTTCTTTCTTTCCCTTACCCCTTCCTTCTTTTCCTCTCTCCTTTCTGTTCCCTGAACCTTTCCCTTCTTTTCTTTATTTTCTTTTTACCTAGTTGGTCTGCCTAGGATTCCCAGTACAATATTTAATAAAAGTGGTGAAACCAGACACCTTTGTCTTGTTTATGATATGAGAAAGATCTTTCAGTCTTTCACCATTGAGTATGATGTTAGAGACACTTTTTAGGATATCAAGGAAGTGCACTTGTATTACTAATTTGTTGAATGTTTTTATTATGAAACAGTGTTGGATTTTCTCAAATGCTTTTTCTGCATCAAGAATGATCATGCGAGCTTTTGCCCAATCATTTTATTAATATGTTTGATTATGTGAATTGATTTTCATATGTTGAATCAGCCTTGCATTTCTGGGATAAATCCCACATGGTTGTGTGATCTAATCCTTTTAATACTCTGTTGCACTGAGCTAGTATTTTGTGGAGGTTTTTGCATTTATATACACAAGGGATTTGATTTGTAGTTTTCTTGTGATGTCTTTCTTTGGGTTTTGCGTAATAGTAATATTGGGTTCATAGACTGAGTCGGAAGTTCTTCTATCTTTTGGTGGAGTTTGATAAAGTATGATATAATGAAAAGATATATATATATATATATATTTGGTCTTTGTCCCTGATTTCTGGCACAGAGCTCCCAAATTCCTGTGTAAATTCCAGGGTCATAGGAACATCTGTTCATAACTAGCTGCTTTCTACCATACCTGTTTGTGCTAATAATGTGACTCTTGGCAGCGGGCCTTTCTACCTAGCTTCAGGATGAGGATGGGCTATCAGAGGAATCAACCACGTGGTCACTGCAGTCTCCATCCAACCCTTGATCTCTAGGAGGAGCCTGAGGATTGACCTCAATCACCAAGAGCCATCAACCTAATCAATCATGACTGCATATGAAGCCTCAATAAAAACTCTTGAACAATGAAGTTTAGAGAGCTTTTGGGTTGGTGAACACATTGATATGCTTGGTGGGCATCACACTACAAAGGGCATGGGAGCTCTGTGCTCCCCTTGCTGTATGTACCTCATTGTGTGGCTGCTCTTTTGTAATAAATTAGAGTGGTAAGTACAGTATGGCACTTACCTCAGTCCTGGAATCTGTTCTTATGAATTACAAACCAGAGGAGGGATTGTAGAAACCCTAAAATTTGTATATGTGTGAGTACCCTGAGGATGTCATGGTCAGTGGGATCTGAGGTGAGGGCATTCTTTTTTGGCAGGGGGGGTCTTTGCTAATGCAAGATAACTAGGGCCAGGATTGGACTTACTTGTGGGACACTTGATTAGAGTGTTAGAGCACTGGAAAATTGTTTTTCCTTTATATGTGAACCCTTGCTTTTCTCTAACCACTTTTAAGATTTTGTTCTTGTGCTGGACTTCCGGTATTTTGACTATGAAGTGTTGTGGAGAGGTTATCTTCTGATCGTGGCTATTTTTTTATTTTATTTTATTTTATTTTATTTTATTTTGGTACTGGGGATTGAACTCGGGTCCTTACACTTGCAAGACAGGCGGCAGAACAACTGAGCTAAATCCCCAGCCCTATTTGGGGGTTTTATATGCCTCACTTATATGTTAAATTATTTTCCCTTCCTTGGGAAGTTTTCTGCTATTATTTCAGTACACAGATTTTTTTTATCCCATTTGGGCTACTGGATTTTTACTAATTCCAACTAATCTTTGATTAGTTTTCT